ACCGAATATTTAAATCCAAACCGAACCGAAAACCAAAATTTTAAAAAAATACAAACCGAAAACCGAACCAAAAATTCGGTTTCGGTTTCGGTTCAAACCGAAATTTCGGTTTCGGTCGGTTTCGGTCGGTTAATCAAATGTTGTGCACCCCTAATGAATATTAAAAGAAAAAGAAGTGCTACTGACACATGCCATAATCCAAGCAATGAATTTATCACAAAAACCCATGGTCTGACACACTTTAGCCAAAAAAGACCACTCTATTTTATCATAAGCTTTGGACATGTCAAGTTTAACAGCCATAAAACACTTATGCCCTTTTCTTTTACTATTAAGAAAATGAATGCACTCAGAGGCCATAACCACATTATCAAGAATTTGTCTATTGTGTACAAAAGCAGTTTGGGTGGCTGAAATGCAATTAGAAAGAAGAGGTTTTAATCTGTTAGCAATAATCTTAGCAATGATTCTATAGGTCACTGTACAGAGGCTAATAGGTCTAAAATCTTGGATGGAGCAAGCATTTTTCTTTTTAGGGATGAGTGTTATTACTGTGTGATTGGTATCCCTAGGAATTTTACCAGCATCAAAAAAATTAGCAATGGCTTTGCAAACATCAAGTTTAATATCAGGCCAAGAGGTTTGGAAAAAGCTAGGTGACATACCATCAATACCAGGTGCCTTGTTGGGATCCATACTCATGACTGCTTCAGTGATTTCCTCCTCTGTGACTGCCTTCACCAACTGCTCATTCATATCTGGGGTTATGGTAGTTGGCATTCCTTGCAGTTCATTGTGGTGCATTTGTGGCTCTGAGGATGTAAATAGATGTTGGAAGTATGTGATTGGTCGAAAAAAGTGTGTATTATATTTATTTATTGGCATATTTTTATATGCTTAAATTTATCGCACTTATATGTTTTTTGACTTATTTATTTATTAGATGAATTGTAGTGCTTTGATATTTTTATTGTTTATTTGCAGCTGGTTTGGAGTGCTTTTGCGGATGATGTAGCATTACCGATAATTCTAGTGGGTCGGTTCTGTAAAGCACAAAATGTGCCCAGTTCTCATTAATCTTGTTGGAGTATTATTGGGCCGAAATAAAGGAAATTACAAAGTCCAACATGCAACAATATGGTGGGGTCAAACCAATTGGAGGACAAATTGGGAAGCTAGAATATAGCACTCACGCTGGCCCATTTTTGTGAATTGGAGAGGAATTCAGAATTATTTTGTGAGCAATTAATTAGGTAGCCATGAAGTGGGAATAAAAGAAGCAACCCCTGAGATCAAATTCACGCATCAGAAAAGAAGGACGCAGCCCTTGGGAATTTTTTTGTGCAGCAGAAGAACCGTATTCACGCAACACAGACAGAGAACAAATACGAGAAAGCCGAAGGAAGCGGAGGGAGACCGCACCTGCACACGAAAGAGGATAATTCTATTCTCTTTCTTTTCTTTTTATTTTTATTTATTATGTTAGAGTAATTTTCTTTCTATTTCCGGGGAAGTCGAACCCTAAGATTGATGATGTTTGATTAATTCATGGTTGATTATGGAGTTATCTTTTTGGAATTGTTTGTGTTATTTTGAATAATTAACCATGAT